CCTCAAAGAACCAAGGATTCCACAGATAGATCTATAAAAGAAAATTATAATTATTGCCAATAAGGGGGCTAGAAATATGTTTCTGATGCCTTGAAAATGAAAAATATTTTTTATCACTAGATACAGGACAGTTTACTTACTGCAGGTCCATTTTCTAATTATAATTGTGTATAAGAAACCTGGAACAAAGGAAAAAATCTTTACCCTTTTTTAAAGCTTTAGTTTTGTTAACTATTTAAAAAAAAATAGAGGGGAGTTGCATGCCGTTTACACATTTTTCTTTTTGTCTTTCCCCACAGTTAAAAAAATAATTTGCAATTACTCATCCATCAAGTCAGATTGAATATGACATTTTGTTGATGAAGTATTACCTAAAGAAAAATATCTTGGTTGTTCCATTTGTAGTGCAAATTAATGCAGTATGGTCATTCACCTTCATGATTGATATGTTTAGTTTTGGGAAATAAGGAGAAACAAACGTTCAGAAGAGAAATCACAAAATAGATAAAATATTTTCCATATTTAAAGAAAAATGCATATAGTAAATGGCGACAGTTATTGAAGTATCTTCTCACGAATATGTAGATAAGAGCACTTATGCTGATATTCTTTAAACATTTTGTTGACCTGTCTGTCTTAGGCCTTGTTCCACATAATTGTTATGTGCCACAAGAGTATTTATTTTATCAATCACATGACATATATTTCACAGGACTGCATCCTGTGAGGCAATCATACTATATCAGCTATCTCAGAAGAAGGCTTGTGAACAGTCATGGAAGATCCTTTATCCGGGCTTGTCCGCACCGCAAGCTGGCCTTGACTAAAAGGAGGCTTTTCTCTATTTATGTGAAGAAACTCAATATTGATGAAACCAATTCCTGTATTTGTGGAAAAGCAATCAAATGGCACATTTGCCATGTATTTGATCTATGTCCCTTATCATGGGCAATCAAGCAAAGATTTACTGATTATAACAGAATATTCTGATTTTTTTCATAGAAGCCATTGATGTGCCTTGCCTACTTAACAGTGCTTTGTATGGCCAAGCAGAAAAACAAACAAACACTCATGTTTAATGCATTCATGTTTAAGGTAACTGGCTACTGCTATATGTAAGAAATGTTCCTGATTTCATAAGTCCACCTTTTCTACACATTTTATGAGTTCTTAATGTTCTAGCTTAAGAAAGAGGCAACAGCAATTCTAGTACCAACTTCAGTATTGGGTTTGCACAGGTAAGGTAGAATGAAAACAAATGATCCCAAATCATGCCACTATACTATACTATAGCTATGAAATGCTATCTAGAATTGAACATTAAATAATAATGGTTTAACATTTTGCTTCCTAATATTTATAAGATGTGCTGAGGGCATAATTTTGTTATTCTGAAACAAAGTTGAGTGCAGATTTATTGCCTTGCATAAATTTCATGATTGTTCCCCTTAACCACACCAACATGCGTTTAGTCTTGTTCATATCTTTCCCAAAATGTGGTACATCTTTTTAAAGTACCAGTGTTTAGTGTACCAGTATTTTGTTCTCAATTAAATATGAGAACAAGAAGTCAGAATATTCTGAAGGCCTTCAGTTAGAATTAAGTCCATTAGATGAAGAGTTATAGGCCATTAGAGGAATGGCTTTGATGAAAATTTCTTAGAATATAAAGGACTAAAGCTGCTGTTCCCAGCTTTGTCAGATAACAATTTTCATATTTCACAGTGAACACAACTACTAGGTAGGAATGGTGGTAACTCAACAATATTTGGAAATCCAAAATTGGGAAATGCTGAATCAGAGTTACCATCATATTTCCCCACAAGGAAAATGAAATTTCCCCAGTTCTGTAAATTGGGAGAAGGGCTGTTTTCTTACTTTTACTGGAAAATGCTGTTGAAAGCCAGAGAATGGGTGGGAGATGCAAATAAAGCATCTGAAATCAAGGTAGAAGAAGGGAGAGAAGCCACCATGGTTCTCTCAAGAGGGAAAGGAGAAGAAAATAAGCTTAGCATACTGACGGAACTGAATTAGAAGTGTTAAACATATTTATTTACTTCAAAGTAAGAGTCCCTAAAATCAGTGGACTTACTACAGAGTAAGCATGCATAAGTTTCTTGTGTTCCAGTCTAGCATAGAAGTCTCCAACAATTCGTTTCCTTATTAAAAATAGAAACTGCTCAATAGTACAGAATTTCCCCCTCAATTCCCACCTCTTATCTGAGGTAAACTGGGCTAAACAGCTATTCCCAACAGGATTACATATTTACCAGAGTGTGTACTGCGGTTCATGGGACTTGTTACAGAGCAAGTATGTCCATCCATCCATCCATCCATCCATCCATCCATCCATCCATCCATCCATCCACACATTTATTATTGTGGTTGGGGGACTCCAGGATTGGTTTCAGTGGAGATTGGCAGCTTTAGAGGACAAAGAAGTAAAACTAGGCAGTACACAGGATTTTTGTATGTATTTTTAACCTTTAATCTCTCTTTGGATAGAGGATTGCCTTAAATTCAGAACTGTCTTCTTTGGGGATTAATAGAGCATGTAATCATCCTTGGCCATTTTATAAGCTGTATTGTCTGCTTCAAATATTTCAATTCTTCCAAATCTGGACTGAGTATAGGAGCTTGTGTTCCCTCTTTCTTGATTGAGTTTTAGATAGCCTTCATAAATCTGTATTGCTACACAAAGAAATAAAGATAATCAGTATGGAACACAATGAGAAGAGTCAGAAATATCAGTAAAAAATTTTAAGTGAAAAATTTTAATAACGGTCCTTACATGCTAAAATAATTTATACAATCCAAAATATTCCAAATAATGTGTGGCAAGATTATTGTATGCAAAAAAATGGAAAAATAATGAAATATCTACAATGGAAGATTATAAAATTAACTCCAGAAACAGTGAAGCTGACCAATTTGGTCTGGGAAAAAATGACAAAGGCTTTTTTGAAAAACTGGAAACCCTATATTATATGGACTTTTTGTTCAAAGAATAAAAAGACTGAATGGATGATTTCTGGATTTGGGGATTAAAAAGGGCCAAAGAGGATGGGGAAAAGAATAAGATGATAATTATCTGATACAAAGAAGGACAGAAGGAGTAACTCTATTTTTTTCTCTTAGAATTTCTCTTTTTTTTCCTTTTCCTTTCTATCTTTTTTGTTTGTTTTGTTTTGTATACTTTTACTGTATCAAAAAATTCTAAATGTATATGTATTGGATTTAATTTAGATAAAATGTTAAAGAATGGCTTACAGCCACTAAAGAAATGACAGAGATTTACTCACTCTCTTCCATACGTTTTGCTTGCATCCATCAATCTAACATCTATGGCTGGAAACTTGCAAAAGTTAAAATGTAATATTTTTTTTCTTCAAAGTTTTTATATAATATGGGAATTTCTTCATAGAATTGGAAATTACATGATGGTGTCCTCACCCTATACAAGGTTTGTTCCAATGGTTACCATCAGAGTTTTACTACCACTGTGGAAGAGCATATTTTTTCCCATCCTGCTCAATGTCCTTCTCTTGAGTTGAATTGTTTTAAAAACAGCCCTATTAAAAAAAAAAAATTAAATATCAAGTTTCAAAAATATGTCTGAAGTAAAAATAATAGCAGTATGTTTGTATAATACCTCCCTGTGGTGGAATAGCTGTTATTCATGGTGGCTGTATGCTATATACAGAAGCTGGGGGTGGGGGGCATAAATGATGAAAGCGGCATCATGCCATCATCATGCAAATACTCTGCCCTTTTTGTATGTGCTTCATAATGTTGCACGCATGTCCCGAAAGGATGAAGCTTGCATTGCAATGGGATGATGATCTTTCATCGTTTTGACAATTGATTCTGTGGATATTTCTGGCTAGATGTTTGAATAGTAAATTGGATATGAGTACAAGAGGCTATTATCTTTCAGCCCTGCTTGCCTGTTTTCTATATAGGTAGTCCTTGGTTAACAGCCACTCATTCAGTGACCGATTGATTGGTCCTTGAAGTTCCGGCCATCGTACCACCCCCGTGGTCACGTGATCGCAATCCGGGCACTTGGCAGCCAGCTCACACAATGGTTACAGAGTCCCACAATCACGTGATCACCATTTTCAACCTTTCCTGCCAGCTTCCCATGAGCAAAGTCAGTGGGGAAGCTGGCAGGGAAGGTTGCAAGTTGTTCCTGCTGCTTTTTCTCCCAAGGAACCATGCTATAGAATATGAGATCCCAAGGATCTTGTATTCCGTAGCATGTGATCACACTGCAGCAACCCCTCCCCCTTCCTCATTCCATAGTACTCACCCTCCTTATGACCTGCTTGCAAGCTGCCCAGAACTGCAAAGTGAGGACCTCAGGTGACTGCGACTTGCAGTTTCCTGCCAGCTTCCTACAAGCATTAACTTT